GACGACGGCGGCGGCGGCGACGGAGATCGCGGCACCCGGCGACGTGGCCCGGCTCAGCAACAACGGGGCCGCAAGGCACGAGACAGCCATTGGCTGCGGCGGGGAGAAACGGAAATGCAGAGGAGGGGGGGCGAAGCTGCAGCGAAGCGGCATGTCGGCACGGCGTTGGCAGGCGTATGGGCGAGCTTGCCGGCACTAACACATTGCGCGGCCCGCTGCCACCCGTCGACAACGCCACGGCAGCTCGATGACGCCGCCACGGCGCGGTGTCTCTGCCGCGGCAGCATGTCGACGCTGCCACGGCAGCACGACGACGCCACCACGGCGTGGCGACTGTAAAAATTTGGCAGGTATTGCAGGAGACTAAGTATAGAATCTGCAAACATGAATACTTGGAAAAGCTCAAGTGTTGCCTAGGATCTTTACTGGAATGGTAGACTAGTAAGTCAGCGGAAGTCTTATAGGAGTGAACCTGAGCACATGAACTTGTAGGTAGTCGAAGGTTGAATAACCTGAGCACATAATTCTATGAAAAGTCAAGGTTAATAATAGAAAGGCATTACAATGATTTATAGCTCTAGGGAAAAGTACCTATTCGGCTAGTTGCGCGCTATGCGACCTATTCGTCATACTATAGGGTCGCGACTGCTCGCGTGACTGAAACGACTCGTTACGCCTAATCGCGTAACTGAAGCGGTATGCTGACGTCATCCCGTAGACCCACGATGCTTTGCTGACATCAGCACTCAGGCATGGTTGCTTACTGAGAAACTCGATACCGCTAGCTACACCAAAAACGGAACTTGCAGGAATGCAAAACTTTATTTATCACAACACTCCCCTTCATTCTTGGAAGTTCGATGTAGTCACGTCATGTTTGGAGTCCGGCGGATGAAGTCTGCAATTTGGAATCTTGTGACGTGTCAACTTGATGTGCTGTAAGTAGTCGGCGGTCATTCCATTGGTTAAATGGTAGACCTATCACGTTCTTCCCTTGTTGATGACGAATTTTGGCTTTGACGAAGTGCGTGTAGATCCTCCTCCCCCCCTCACTTCGGTAGAGTAAAAATGAGTCGGGTTGAAAGTGGTTGGAGTTGCACCAATGAACGTGGCAAGGTCGAAGGGGATAAATGCAAAACCACGAGAGTGTTGCATGCGGTTGAGAGGAGGCTCGGCATCGTCCGGAGGCTTCTCAAGGAACCATGAAGTGACGGGCAGATCTGATGGTGCAGGTTCGGGCAGGGAAATATGTTGAGTCAGCAGTGCACGGAGCTGCTCACGTAGCTCGTGTAGTTTACTGCTCAACCGTTCTGCTTCGTTGCATTGTTGAACGCGATGATGAGGGGTTTGATAGCAGTTGATGCCCATGTCTTGCTTGTAAATGTTGGAGCTCGTATTGGGGTAATCGGCAGCTCTGTAGTATAGGAAAGTTTGCAGCGTAGAACTGAAGTCGCTTGCTGCTATACTCAGCCAAGCAAGAATCAGGAGGGTGAAATATGAAGGGAGTAAAAGCCTTGAGAATGCGTAACCTTTCTCTGGGAGAGGGGTAGTTGAAGAATTGTCAGAAGGCTTGTCGAAAAGAGTTGTAGCGTCGAAGAATAATTCAGGTGCGAGTTGCAGAGGTGCCTCGTCTTCTTGAATAATATTTCCCTCGATGTCAATAGCAGGTGTATCGGCAAGGATGTCGGTGGTGCCGCTGCTCAAAATTTCTTCTTCGCTGCTGTTGAGTTCAACGGGTGGAACGGTTACCAAAGCGGCTGCTATGATGATTGATGGAGCGTGAAGGGGAGCGGCATCTTCAGAAGATTTTGCTGCTTTGAATCGTAAGACAAATACGCCTTTTTTTTTTGCTGCTCTTCCAATGTACGCGTTGTCCACATCATGTATTAACTCTTGCTCTTGTGTCGTGCAGTTTCCGACCGTGCGGATTTTCTTCTTCAAGAGTTGAATAGTTGAGACTAAATTGAAGCCGAGATTGTCGACGAGTAAAACATTGGTAAGGCATAAGGAATTTCCCATGTCGATTGATGTCAAAAGTAGACTGCCGATATTTTCTGCTGCAATTGTTTGACCGTTGGCGAGTGTGATTGGGCAGGGTTGAAGAAGTCGACGATGGTTGTAGATGAAAGGGTTTGTTGAAGAGACCATGTGGTGGCCACAACAACTATCCAAGTATCGGTATCTGAACTGCATTTAACCAAGTGAAAGGATGAAGTAGGTAAGCAAAATTGTGAGGTTACCGTTTTGGTGGCAGATGTTGAATTATTTTCGAGCAGCTTTGATGTCGTGCTTGGAAGAGCATAGCTGAGTGATGTTGGTGTTGTTGATGTTGCAGATGCTGCTTTTGGAGGATCAGGCTGCTGCATAGACTGCTTCGAAGGATGTCATAGTTGATGGGATGATTGCGACTGCTGCGATTCTTCATGAGGTAAATACCTCTTCTTAAAATACACTGGCGGAAAGAATTATCCACATGTTTTGCAATTTTCAGAATTTTGACCGTAAAAGGGCATGTGTACATTAAGCCTTAATTGAAGGCCTTACCCACTATGTGCAGGCCAATCTAGAGACACAAAACAATGCTTCACATTTGATGAAACTACAGTCGTTAACAGTAAAAAGCAGAAAAAAACAATCCCGGTGCATGTGGACAATTAGTTCCAGGCGGAAGCATCAACTTGAACAACCCTTAAACTAGTACCTGGTCCACCTCCCTTTAGCCCTAATCACAGCTTTCACCCTCCTGGGCATGCTGTCGATCAAATTGGAGCACACCTCTGATGGGATCTTCTCCCACTCCTCTTGTACACGCTCCCACAGGTCCACCATACCAGTGGGAGGTGTCTCATGCTTAGCCAGCTCCCTCTTAAGATGAGCCCAAAGATGCTCAATGGGGTTCAAATCAGGACTTCCTGCCGGCCACTCCAGGACCCCAAACTCCTGCTCCTGAAGCCACTTCTACACCACACGGGACTTATGCTTGGGGTCGTTATCGTGCTGGAACATCACATCCGAGGGGGTTAGCTTGTAAAAATCGATGGTATTCTTCAGCTCGTCTTGCAAAATGCTCAGATACAGCGGCCCGTCCATTCTACCATCGATTTTGCACATGAAACCCACCCCCTCATACGTGACACAGCCCCAAATCATCAGGCCGCCGCCCCCGTGTTTGACGGTTTGCCTGAACTGGTGGTGTTGGAGAGCCGTACCTTCACGAACCCAGGCGTGCGCGCGGCCGTCAGAGCAGAACCGAATGATCCTCGTTTCATCCGACCAGATCACCCGCCTCCAATCATCTATGGTCCAATCCGCGTGGGACCGTGCGAACTCCAGCCTATTGCGGATATTTTTCTTGGAGAGTCGCGGCTTCTTAGGCTGCTGGATGGCAACAAGGCCGCTGGATTTGAGCGCATTACGCACCGTCCTAGGATGCACCGTGATGCCGTGCTGGGATTCGACGATCTGGGCCGCATGCCTCGAGGTTTTCGCCTCGCCGCTAGTGATCGCCCTGACGATCCCACGACGAATTCTATTCGTCAGTATGCGTGGACGACCAGCAGTGGGCATGGAAGGACGCACATACTCAAGACTAGTCTCTGAAATCGCCTTAAGTCCAACGTCGTGTACTGTGCTTTTCCCCACGCCAACCTCCTTCGTGATTCGCCGCGTGCTGTACCCCCTACGCAACACAGTTATGATCCGGGCGCGACGAGCCTCCTCTATCGGTCTCATCTTAGCCTAGTCGAAGCCTCGGGTATAAAGTCTATCCTGACTAATCGACGATTGCGGGAGGAACTACGGAGAGAATGCGGTAGTCGAAAACGGATCTAGGCTGCTGCTTGGCCGAAACTGTCCGGATGCACTCACGCGACTGAAATCTTGTTCACGCTATTAGTGCGACCCGTTCAAATTGGAAACGTGTTACCATAATGCAACTTGCACTCGTTACTTACTAGCCAGCTTCGAAGATTCGGTGATACCTCAGTTGAAAGCATTCAAATAATTATTTGAACCTAAAATTGGATTTTATCTTGGCAATACTTTTCGCCAGTGTAGCATCTGTTGGTAGAATGTCCTCCCTTGTTGCAAATCTGACAGAAGTATTGCGGACGTCGGGTTGGTGTTGAATAGAAGCTGAGTTGTATATCCCCCTTTTTGTTGCGTGCAGCCTGAAGATCAAGATCTTGCTACTCTGCTTGAAGATACGATGAAATCTCGACTTCAGAGAGATTCGGGTTCATGCGCAAAAAGGCGCGCGTCTGTTGCCACTCGGGACCAAGTCCAGCAAGAAGGACTGTGAGATACATCTCACAAGGGAAGTATCCACCACTCTTCTCCAATTGATCTCGTAGTGTGCGCACACGATTGACGTAATCCATGAAATTCTCGTTTGTCATCATCTGCACATTTGTCAGCTGCGAAAGAAAATTACTCACTGTGATTGTATCTTGCGCCATAAACACCCCTTTTAAATGTCTCCATGCTGTTTCAGCTGGCGTAAAGCTGGAATGGAAAGATCGAACGCCGAGTTGCTCCTTTGGCGATAAGTTTCGAACAAGAACCGTATACGCCCCGAGAGAGGCGTGCAAGAAACTCTGCTGCTCCAGGTGTGTTCCCGTAATAGGATATGTAAACTCGCCGGTGAAGAACGGTGTCACAGGATCGAATGTGTCGAGGAAAGGTTGCACTATCGATTAGTACAAGGCGCTTTTATACTTCCAAGGTACATCAGGTAACCAGGTTCATCCTATCCTAAGGGAATAGACCCTTCTAGAAGGTAGAATCACCGTGCGTATAGCCACGTGAGGCTATTGGCTTTAAGGGATTACGGCAGGATTACGCCAAATAGCGCACCAGTACATCCCAAGCCTGGTCGGTGATATAATTATCATAGCAGGATAAACCAAAGGTTAATGGAAAATGGAGAATAGGAAACCAAATGAGATGAGATAAAAAGAGAAATGAAAGAGAAAGGAAATAAGAAAAGGGACAAGTGGTGTAACGGGGTCGTACTCTCACACTTCCCCCCCTCAAAGCTGGGTGGTAGAAGTAACACCCTGCTTGACAAGGTAGTCATGCAGAGGACGACGGGGTTTACCCATGTCGGACTCAGGGACCCAGCTGTCCTCAGAAGGATCATAACCCTTCCAACGGATGAGAAGCTCCACGGTGCCATTCCGACGTCGGCGGTGTGCAAGCACGGACTCGACCTCGTACTCGGGTTCATTCTGGACGAGGACGGGTGGCGGCGGCGGCGGTTGGCATCCGACGAAGATCGTGTTCGGATCCCGATATGGCTTCAGAAGTTGGACATGGAAGGCGTTGTGAATCTTCCAGGTGGCTGGCAGACGCAAGCGGAAGGTAACAGGTGTAACCTGCGCTTCGACGAGAAAAGGCCCGCAGAAGCGAGGTCGCAGTTTAGACGGGAGGTGGCTGATGTCCAGGTTGCGGGTGTCAAGAAGCACCTGGTCTCCCACCGTGATGGTGTGGTCGTTGCGATGGTGATCGGCCTGGCGCTTTTGTTGCTGCTGAATGTCGAGGAGGCGCTTGTGGGTCCGATCCCAAAACTGATGCATGGTTGTGATGAAATCATGTGCAAGTTGTACTGCAGCGGATGTGGGCGGTTTCTGTGGTGTGAGTGGGTGGCGTCCGTAGCAGAGGAAGAACGGCGTCTGTCCAGTAGCGGCATGTGTAGCGTTGTTGTAAGCAAACTCCAGAACGGGCAGGTGCAGGTCCCATTTGGAGATCTCGTCCTTGCAGGCTGCTCGGAGGAGTTGCTCAACAATTTGGTTGAGGCGCTCGGTCTGTCCGTCTGTCTGCGGATGGTAAGCGGATGACATGGCGAGTTTGGTTCCGAGAAGAGACATAAGTTCCTTCCAGAACTTGCTGGTGAACTTGGGGTCTCGATCGGAGATGAGTGTGGTTGGAATGCCATGCTGTGAGATGATGTGACGAACGAAGAGTTGTGCTGTCTCCTCGGTGCGTGCCGTCGTGTGTGTTGGGATGAACTGTCCCATTTTGGAGAACTTGTCGATGACGACAAGGATTGCGTTATGACCACTGGTGGTAGGTGGTAACCCGGTGATGAAGTCCAGGCTAACCACTTGCCATGGTTGTTCTGGGACAGGAAGAGGCTGCAGTAGTCCCGCCTTTTTCTGCTTGCTGCTCTTCATCCGCTGACACGTATCATACGAGGTGACGAATTTCTGTACGTCATCTGCCATGTGGGGCCAGTAGTAGTGTTTGGCGATACCGGTGAGCGTCTTGTTGCTACCGAAGTGTCCCACGTATAGGGCGTCGTGGTATTATTCGAGTAGTAACTGGCGCAAAGGAGGGTAATTGGGTACCCAGATTTTCATTGATCCCTTCCGGTACGCGATGTCACTGTCCCACTGTAGCAGATGTCGTTTTTCAGCCAAGGGGATTTCGGGGTCGATGGAGTACCCGTGTGTGAAGAGTCCCTTGAGTAATGGATTCATCCCTTCAATCTGAATTGCGGCAACGTGCGCAGGCCGGCTAAGAGCGTCTGCTTTGTTTTTGTGGCCGGGCTTGTACACGATGTCGTAGTGGAAGTGTGTCTCGAGGAAGTCGATCCACCGGACCTGCCGCCTGGAAAGGTTGGGTTGTGTCTTCAAGTATTTCAGGCTGCAGTGGTCGGTGTAGACGGTTGTTCTTCGTCCTTCGAGATAACATCTCCACGCTTGTACTCTTCGCGAAGTCGGTCGATTACTGCCTTGTTGCAGACGGTGTGTGACGCTCCGCTGTCCACGAGTGCTTGGAGGCGTCGTCCTTTGCAGATGACCTCGAGCGCGAGGGGCAGGCGTTGCTCGGAGTACCCAAAAATAGTCTCATTGACTGGGTCATAGGGTACATCCCAATATTCCGTACACACCTTTGTGTTGCTATCTACTCCTGAGCTGGCAGCTGGCCGAGGCTGCTTGGAGAACGGCTCTTCTCCAGGGCCCGGAGTTTCCTTGACGACTGTGCGCGTCATTGATGCCGAAGAACTGGATGCATCCATAGGAGGAGTTCGGGGTTTGGGCAGCTTCTTGTAGACCCCCAGCTTCCTCTTGAGCTGCCTCAGCTCCACCGACGTCTTCCCTGGGGAACGGGTGGTCGTTGTGGGCTGGTGTCAGGAGAGGACGTTGTCTCCGTGGAAAGGTCGGCTTCTTTCCACACTCCATATTTTTTTCCCCAAGTTGTTCGGTACCGGTATAATCTCCACAGCTGTCTGCTTCTTTTGGAGTCCCTCCCGAAATTTCTCCAAGGCTCTAGCTCCTCGAAAATCATAAGTTTTCATTAAAGCATCTTTATAAGATAACTTTAACGAATCGTTATAATTTCTTGGGTCTTCAAGGAGTTTCCCTGTCTCGGCAGAGTCTTTTTTCGCAGAGTCGTATTTTTCCTCGGCGATTTTCCCTGGCGAAGACTGGTCGTGGGGTGGAGATTTTCCCCATCATTTCCTCCTTTTCGCGTTGAATCAGCTTCGTCGAAGTTGATTTTCCCGGAATCCCGCGGCCGCTTCCGGATCTTTTCTTTTTCGCCAGCTAGATCCGCAATCACTGGCGAGTCCCGTTTTTTGGCTTCTGATTGGCCGAAGGAATTCCGCCACTGTTGCGTGCCCGATACTCTGCGCGTGCGGCTTTCATTTTGTTGCAGTCGAAGATTCGATGACCCGGCACCCCGCAAAAATCACACGTGTAGTTGGTGTTTTTCGGACGTGGCCGCCCCTCGAACCTGTCGACTTCCATGGGGTCGGCGAACGTGGGGTGAGCCGAGCGGTCGCCCTGTCGCGTACTGCCGACGTGCGTCCGTCGTGTTCCGGCGTTGACCATGTCGAAGCGCTCCGCTGCCGAAACGACGTCACTGTAGCTCGCGTAGTTTGACGCTGCCACTTGTCGTTTGACTTCGGTCTTCAGCCCGGCGAGGTACGACTGTACTTTTTCCCCTTCGGTCAGATCGGTAATGCGGTTATAAAATTCCTCCATCTGTTGCGTGTACTGCGCTACACTCCCGAACTGTCGGTGTCGATGAATTTTTTCCCGGGCAAGGAAACTCGAATTTATCGGCTCGAATCGTTTCAGCAGGTCGGCGCGGAACTGCTGCCACGTGGCTTCACCGTGGATGAAGGTACTGTTGCCGCCAATCCACTCGAGTGCCGGCCCTCGCATCAGTGTCGCCGCAAGTCGTACGCGTTGACCGTCCCAGGCTGGCGAGCTCCATCCGACGGCTGCGAAGTAGATCTCCATGCCGGCGATCCATCTGCGGACGTCGGAGTTTCGATCGCTCGGATCGAATGGCTCAGGTGGGTGCTGTTTGGGAGCCTCGAGAAACTGCTGCGACTGTTGCGACGTCGCCGTTGTCGAGTCGTGCTACGCTCCGGCGAGTCGAGTTACTCGCTCGAACTCGTTTCGCCACGCTTCGTGGTCCGCTCGCATCTCCTCCTGAAGGGCTGCGATGCGCGCGAAGAGCTGCTGGGTAACCTCGGCGTTGTCAAGGTTCGCCATCCTGTTCAAAAACACGCGCGGAGGGGGTAATTCAAAAAAACGCGGAGCTGGTGCTTACCAGAATCGGCGTCGAATTGGTCGCCCGCGGCGGTTTTTCGAGGCAGGCTTCCCGCTGCTGCTGCTTAGCTGAACGCGGCGGAGTGAGAAAAGCTCTAATTACCAAGTGTCACAGGATCGAATGTGTCGAGGAAAGGTTGCACTATCGATCAGTACAAGGCGCTTTTATACTTCCAAGGTACATCAGGTAACCAGGTTTATCCTATCCTGAGGGAATAGGCCCTTCTAGAAGGTAGAATCACCCTGCATATAGCCACGCGAGGCTATTTGCTTTAAGGGATTACGGCAGGATTACGCCAGATAGCGCACCAGTACATCCCAAGCCTAGTCGGTAATATAATTATAATAGCAGGATAAACCAAAGGTTAATGGAAAATGGAGAATAGGAAACCGAATGAGATGAGATAAAAAGAGAAATGAAAGAGAAAGGAAATAAGAAAAGGGACAAGTGGTGTAACGGGGTCGTACTCTCACAAACGGCCACAGCCCGGCAGACTGCGCCAGAAGCTCAAATTCGAAGCTCTAGGAGTAAAAATCAACTTGAGGTATAAAACTTCAGCTCGAAGTTCTGGCTCAATTGCGTTTAAAATGTATAGTTGTCTTGATCTGTGTGCTGTTAAGCAAACTCGGTGGTTGAAAGATGATACCCTGTTGAGGCTGTTGCTGTTGTTGCTGTTGCTGAAATTGCTGTGGCTATTGCTACTGTTGCTGTTGCTGAAATTGTTGTGGCTGTTGCTGTTGTTGTTGCTGAGCAGGTGAACGCCCAAAGATGTAGAAGGGCTGCTGCTGCTGCGGCTGTGGCTGCTGCGCAAAGGGTGAGAAGGCAAATGAGCCAGAACTTGGAGCTGAAGCTCCAAGCATAAAACTTGAGCCGTCAAGACTCATTCCACTAAACGTTGACAATATTCCCTGAGTTGAAAACTGTGGTTGTGCTGCTGCCTGTTGTTGTACTGATGCTTGTTGTTGTACTGTTGTCTGTGTTTGTTGTTGTTGCGCTGCAGGGGTGGTCGATGAAGTCCCTGGAGTGTTAACAGGAGGATTTTGTTGCTGTTGCTACATACCGTTGTGCGCATAAGCCGGTGGAAACGGTCCAGAGGCGGAGAGACCAGTGGCGGTCGTGGAGACAGGTACTCCAATAGTTCCATAACTTGATCCGGTAGATTGTGCTGGCGTTGTTCCAGTCATTGTTGACAGTAGTCTTAATTCCAGATAGCTCTCATACCATGTAATAATTTGACAGGTGTTGCAGGAGCCTAAGTATAGAATCTGCAAACATGAACACTTGGAAAACCTCAAGTGTTGCCTAGGAACTTTACTAGAATGGTAGACTAGTAAGACAGCGGAAGTCTTATAGGAGTGAACCTGAGCACATGAACTTGTGGGTCGTCGAAGGTTGAATAACCTGAGCACATAATTCTGTGGAAAGTCAAGGTTAATAATAGAAAGACATTACAAGGATTTATAGCTCTAGGGAAAAGTACCTGTTCGGCTAATTGAGCACGAAGCGACCTATTCGTTATACTATAGGGTCGCGACTGCTCGCGTGACTGAAACGACTCGTTACGCCTAATCGCGTAACTGAAGCGGTATGCCGACGTCATCCCGTAGACCCACGATGCTTTGCTGACATCAGCACAGGCATGGTTGCTTACTAAGAAACTCGATACCGCTAGCTACACCAAAAACGGAACTTGCAGGAATGCAAAACTTCATTTATCACAACAGCATCGATGCCACAGCAGTGCGTCGAGACTGCCACGGCAACACCACGAAGCCGTCATGGTAGCACAACATGGCTGCCACAGCGGCGCGGAAGTGAGGAGAGGACGCTGCGGAAGCGTGAGGAGAAGGCCCGAGCGAAAGGCCCTGCACTGATACCATGTTAAACAAGCTAGATAAGGAGAGGAGCCATGGAAATGGCGAGAGGGGTTAGGTGCTAGGAGAAAGTTACGAGAGGGAAGAGGTTGGACTAGAAGAGAACGAGATACAAGAAAGGGGGGGGTTGTCCCCTCTACAGTAGGATTCATGATTGTAGCACATCTACCAAACCTAATCAAATACATATATATATATATATATAAATATTGACAATAACCCTCCAGGCTATGCACTCGTAACCCTTCCCCGAGGACCAAGGGCAGCCCCAGCGTGTATCATGACACCCCCCCTCGCTGGGGTAGGCGGAAGACACAAGCGCCTGTGCAGCACTGCCACCACTCCGGTGCGCACTGAGAATTGAACCCGGGTGGTCACCCTACTCCAATACCATATCAGAAATCAGTCACTAACCACTGACTTAAAAGGTCTTATTAAGTGGCGGGTAAGTGCGCCCATAACCCCCCAGGCTCTGCACCTGTAACCCTTCCCCGAGGACCAAGGGCAAACCCAGCGTGTATCATGACACCCGTTACCCAACATGTCATGTAAGATTTCGAGTAACGGGTATCGAATACCCGCCCGGGTAACCCGGGCCTGACCCGCTGGGTAATATTCGGGAATCTTGATACCCGAACTGCCCTAAAAGCGGATCCGTGTCCAGGTACCCGCCCCAGGCGGGTTATTTTTTCAACCCTAGTGCAAGGGATTGTGAAAGCTTGCGTAGATCCTCGTGTAAAGGCAGCATGCTGTCGAGTGACCCGCTGGGGTTACCCTTGAGAAGATCCTCGGGGAAGGGCCACAAGTGCAGAGCCTGGGGGGCTATGGGCGCATTGAGCCGCTATTAATAAGCCTTTTTAACTCAGTGGTTAGTGGCTGAGTTTCTTACATGGTATCAGAGCGTTGGTGACTCGGATTCAATTCCTAGTGCTAGCGCTGCAGAGGCGCTCGTGTGGTCCGCCTATTCCAGCGAAAGGGGGTGTCGAGTGACCCGCTGGGGTTACCCTTGAGAAGATCCTCGGGGAAGGGCCACATGTGCAGAGCCTGGGAGGCTATGGGCGCACTGACCTGCTATTAACAAGCCCTTTTAACTTAGTGGTTAGTGGCTGAGTTTCTGACACGTGCTTCATTTCATATGGGTCTTCTGAGACATGTGCAGAAGGGGTTGGCGGTGTCGTTCGATAGAGAGCTGGTGCTAATTGGGTGTAGGAGTGGCGGCTGCGTCTTGGAGTTGTGTGGAGGCTTGGAGCAGTTGGTGCTGCGCGATAGTAATGTAGAGCTCCTTGGCGTTGTCGCTGCGCCAGCGGCCGAGTCGCTTGAAGAGCCGGTCGGATATGCCCAAGCTGGCTGCCGCAGTCGCAGCACCTTTGTGGAAGGAGTGGGTGCCAAGATGCGCGCAGTCAAGGCCTGCCCTAGTTAAGGCTTCAAGGCACCAGTTCCGGATGGTGGTGTACGAAGGAGCGCTATCTTGTGGGTTTGCCTTGCTCTTGCCTCCGAAGACTCGGATCAACGGCCCATCTGGGGTGGTGGTATGTCCTGCGAGGAGAAGAAAATGGCGTGTGCAGCGCACTGGAGAGTAGGTTCCCGAAGTGGCAGCAACCAGGATCCACGTGCCCCTGCTTTCCGGGTCGGTCTTGGAGTGCGGGATCAGCAGCCACATTGCCGCGGGCTCGAATTGTATATCGTTCCATTAGAGGCTGACAAGATCAGAATAGCAAAGGAACGCTGCGAACATGAGAATGGGGATGAACCTTTCTGATACTCGGCAGGCCAGGTGGACTCGAGGAAGGGCCCGCCATGGTATGCACTTGGTGGAGCGACAGGGGTTCCTTGGTCCGGGTGGGGCGCGGGCCATGACGTTTGGCAAATTCACGCACTTGTAGCATGAAGGGACCGTTTGTAGGAGAGGGCTCATCGGTCATCCGATGTGCAAATGCGACAGCGGAGCATGTAACCGATATGGCAGACTAGGTGGCCTGGTGATTTAGCGCATGAACGAGCTAGAGTGCCAAGGTCATGTCCGTTGCGGGCACGTGACTCAACTTCACTTCCGTGCAGAAATTGCTAAATTTGAACCAATATGGTTTGTAAGTTTGGATGGTGGAAGGGGCACGGACATGAGCGGTTATATGCAGAAGTTGTGTTTGCAGCTTCGACAAGATGCATGAAAAAAAAAAATAAAAAAAAATGCATGCATACACTGCAGTTTTTTTTTTACGGTACATGCAATGCAATCATTTGGCTATGAGGAAGTCCTTGACCAGCAAAAGCGAGCAAATGCGTGCCCAGGCGGAGGCATTCGCTGTCGTAGGTGAGGGGGATGTGTGTCATCACTTCTGGCGCCCAGGCGTCAGGTGTTGGTCGGAGCAGTGGCCACCATGATGCTCTCGGCCACTCGGGGAGGATTAAGGTCAGCTCAGTGTGTGTGCGTTGGGCATGCCACAAGGTGGCTGGGATGAGGTTGGGGGGAGAGAGCGCGAAGCCGTGCTCGTGCTGACAGCTGAACAAAAATGCGTCGAACGTTGCAGCCGTGGGGTGGGGAATCTTGGAGCAGAACCTTGTTAGCTGCGCGTTGTGCACATTTGCGAAGAGGTCGATGGCATGGGGGTTGAAGCAACGGTCCAAAAGCCGAAAACAAGGGGTGTGGAGGGAGTAGTCATCGTGATCTTGGATTTTGGAAAGCTCGTTGGCGTGCGCGTTCAACTCCCTCAGGATCCATTCAATGGCAAGCCTTGTCCAATTCTTCAGGCAGAGATGAATGATTGCTTGGCATAGTAGCGTGAGCGTGGGATGGCGCGATCCACCCTTGCGTAGTATGAATATAACCCCTTGATTGTCCACACGAACTAGCACGTGACACTTAGGGATATGGGTAGCGAAAGTTTGAAGTGCCCATAGGACTCCCTCGAGCTCCCGTCGAGTACTGGAGGTTGGCAGGGGTTCCTCGGGCATGCGAGCACTGACTTCAAGGGCTGTCCCGGGAAGTTGCGTAAGGGTGGCACCCCAGCTATGTGCACTTGCATCGACGTGAATGACTGCGTCAAATTGGTGTTTGAGATGGAATGCGGTTCCGTTGAATCGGTCGAAGTGTGCCATCCAAAAGCGCAGCTCTTGCACTGCTGCCATCGACATTTGTGCCGTGTCGTGCCAAGATGTGGCTTCAGCAATCAGGCGGAGAAGCTCATGACTGAAGGCTTGGCCGTGGCGCCCAATGCCAGGGTCATTGGGGACAGCATTCCAATGGTACTTGCAAGGGACCGGACAGGGACCGGTCGTCCCTGTTGCCCCGGGGTAATGAGGGCTTGAAGTGTGACGAAGAGCTGTACACGGCGTTCAAGTCGAACGGAGAGGGTGCCATCGATCTCCAGGCCAAGGAAAGTTATTTGGTGCGAGGGTTGCAAATACGAATTTTTTCCATTGATGACAAAGCCCGTTGCCTTCAGGTCCTGT